TATCTCATTGTAGTTTTGATCTGCATTTCTCTAATGGCTAATGATCGTGAGCATTTCTTCTCGTGTCTGTTAGCCACCTGAATATCTTCTTTGGCCACATGCCTGTTCATATCCTTTGATGCATTACTTTTGGAAATGGATAGAAGTGATGGTTGCACAACATGGGGAATATTATTACTGTCAATGAACTGTACACTTCATAATTGGTAAAATTTAAAAAAAAACTCAAAAAACCAAACCAAAAAGAAATCCCAATTTTTATACTGATTACATGCTGGAATTGAGTGAGATAAAATACATTAAAAAAAAAACAAACAAAAAACTGGCCAACTATCTGGGGCATCTGTTGGTGACAGATGTTGGTGACATGTCTAGCAGGGACAATGTGTCCCGCGTCCTGGCAATGGCACAAAGTTGAGGACAAACAAGCTATGTTCATTAGATCTAAGCCTCCAACAACTTCTGTTCTTATGTCCATTACTCCCTCAGCGCAAAGCTTAACTCTGTATTTACTATTGGTTTAACGGTATACCAGCCACCTTTTATGCCTGTGGACTTCATAGGTAGCAGGTTATTCCAGTTCTAAAGCATTTATCGTCAAGGTGGGTCCCCTTTGAAATGTGTGAAGCTCAACAAACCAGAGTTGGGGCCTCACTGTTGTGGAGGTTGAGCACTCGATTAGGTGATGCTTCCTGGACGTGTTAGTTTTGTAAACTTTTGCCTTTTTCCCCTTTATTTCTGTGAAATAAGGCTAGCAAGCATAATTATGGCCTTCCTGTCTTATAGTTAGGGAGCCCTGATGGGTTTTTTTTGGTTTTTCTGGGTCATATTTGGAAAACCAGACGCTTCTCATGTAATCTAAAGGAAAGGTGCCTGCGATAAATTCTCTATTTAGTTCTTATTGATATATTATCATGCCACAGATCGGTGGTGTCAGAGTACCACTCACCTTATTGGCGGCTTATATTACCAGATCGTATTTCTCAAAATTCATATTACCAACCAAAAACTTAAACACGCTGAATAAGTAAACATACATTCCAATACTGCAAACACTTGCAGTCAAAAAAAATAAAATAAAAAAAATAAATAAATAAATGGTAACAAAAAGGTTTTAACATGAGCTCGGACCTCTTCCTTTCGACTGCTTCTCGAGGTTGGATGATGGTGTATGCAGTGAAAGTATCAAACCACGAAACACGGAGGATGGTATCTGGACCACTACCAAAAAGTGATTCAGTCAATGGTGACTGCTTAGGTGGCTTAAGGGAGAAAGTTTGCTACAATTTCCTGGTGAACTGCTGCTTTAACCAGCCAGATTTGAACCGAATTTGACAGTGTGGCATTTAACGCTAAAGAAAAAGATTTCAGGGAGCTAACTGCCATTATTCGCCACCTAGGATTCTTAATATTCTGGTGGAAAGTATCAGATAAGAATGACTCTTAAAGCAATGTCAAACAGTCCCCCAAACGTGTTTGCTTTGTAGCCCCATCTTAGTCAGCAGTGAGAAAACCATCCACTAAAAGTTTAATCCAGAAACCTGGGGGGCATCCTTGCTGGTCCCCCTTACTTCTATGCCAAGTCCTATAGATATGGCCTCCTAATTACGTCTTGCCACCACCTGTCTTTCAGCTTGTCATACTGGGGTGGCGTGCGTTTTGCTGTGATGCTGGAAATGATGTCACCGATATTTCAAACAGCAGCAGGGTCATCCATGGTGGACAGGTTTCAGCAGAGCTTCCAGACTAAGACAAACTAGGAAGCAAAGTCTGGTGATCTTCTTCCCAAAAATAGCCACAGAAAACAATAGAATCACAATCGAATATTGTCCAATATGGTGCTGGAAGATGAGCCCCGTTGGTTGGAAGGTACTCAAAATACACAGTGGCCTCCTCAAGAATGGACCCAAGCATACCAAGGACCAGGCAGTGTTTCATTCTGTTATGCATAAGGTCTCTGTGGGCTGGAGTTGACTTGTGGCATCTAACAGTAACAACAGTGAGTCTTGTGGTCACAGTCTCCTCTCTGTCTCGACTGCCTTCTTCAGGCCACCATCTCTTCTGGCCTGTGCTACAGAATCAGGGCAAGCATCTCACTGCAGCTGAATTGTCTCTATGTATACTTCTGCCTCCGCCAAAAGACGGCAAGTGTGTCAGAGAGAAAACTTCGCCTTATTTAGTTTATATCCCCAATCTTTAGCATGGTAACGCTGTTTATTTGGTGAATGGAGAAGTCAGACTGATCAAGTCACAAATAAGCCTGTTCAAATGGAATTTGCAAAAACATGGGGAAGAAATTTAGATGGCTAATTTTGCTCGTTATTTTTCCATTAGAAAAACTAAAATATCTTATATTCTATGGGTTGAAAGAAAAAAAAAAAAGAGTGAATAGAGGAAATCCAAGCAGAACGCTGCTGCAGTATGAGTAGTACATGGTAAGAAAACACCCTTAAAGTCATTTCATCAACAGTGGAAGATATAAACCTAATTTGTTCTTTTTTAGAAGAAAAATTCATTTTGTATTGTGTTTTAGGTGAAAGTTTCCAGAACAAATTAGTTTCTCATTAAACAATTGATACACATATCGTTTTGTGACATTGGTTGCCAACTTTGTGATGTGTCAACGCTTTCCCCTTCTCGACCTTCGGTTCCCTGTTTCCATTCGTCCAGCTTTCCTGTCCCCTCCTGCCTTATCATCCTTGCCCCTGGGCTGCTGTGCCCATTTTGTCTGGTATACATGGTTGAACTACGTGTGTTATTGTTTTTTTTATGGGCCTATATAATCTTTGACTGAAAGGTGAGCCTCAGGAGTGACTTCAGTACGGAGTTAAAAGGGTGTCCAGGAGCCATACTCTCAGGGTTTCTCCAGTCTCTGTCAGACCAGTGAGGCTTTTTTTTTTTTTTTTTTTGAGTTTGAATTTTGTTCTAAATTTTTCTCTAGCTCTGTCCAGGACGCTTTACTGTGATCCTTGTGATAGCAGTTGGTGGTGGTAGCCGGGCACCATCTAGCTGTGCTGGACTCAGTCTGGTGGAGGCTGTGGTAGTTGTGGTCCATTAGTCCTTTGGACTAATCTGCCCCCTGTGTCTTTAGTTTTCTTCTTTCTCCCTTCCTCCGGATGGGGTGGGACCAGTGGAGTATCTTAGATGGCCCCTCACAAGCTTGTAAGACCTCAGACGCTACTCACCAGAGTAGGATGTAGAACATCTTCTTTATAAACTATGTTATGCCAGTT